ATCCACAGTCCATCTACAAAGTTGAGAACACAAATCAGGGTGCAAAGTAAACGAGTGAATCGTATCAATTAGGAGGATGAAATCCTGACCGAGACGAAGGAAGTTATTGGATTAAGGGTCTTCAATACTCCCCCTATGAAAATGCTTTAATATTGTTTATTGAAGTATCTGCATTGTTTTCATTCGATTTAATCGGGATTATCCGTTACAGCTGACTTGCCCAGCTTAGCTATCTTAATGTTCCTGTAGACTTGCGTTCGGAGTATCGGGTTTTGGACTTTTTTTGCGTGCTTATACGTCGGATGCTCGCCGTATGCCAGGGTGGACCACCAGATGGTCCACGATCGTCTGGTTTACCATCTGATGCCCAACTTTCGCATTGTTTCAGGGGCCGAATTGCTCGCGAAAGAAATTCGGCGGGTACGAAACACGTCTTTTCTTTTGTCTATAGAACTGCAACCCACAGAAAGTCTTCTCGACTTTCTCCTGTATTGATAATGTTTTTCGAGTAAATACATGGTTTTATAAATAATGTTTAATATATTATAATACAGAAAATATAAACAGGATCAATAATAAAAAAATAACCGACATCTTTACATCAAGAAGTATTAACGACAACCGAACAATATATTTGGAGCACACACTTTCCTTCACATAATACATTCAAACGTATGATCACATTTTCTCGTTGTTCTGATTATTATCAATAACATAGAAACAATTATATCGGTTTGTTTGCTGGAACAACCGTGCCACTACAATGGCCTCCTACAAATTCTGTTTTTTTTTCGAATAAGAATACTGATCATTTGATAGTTAATCAACAATATATACGTACGTATGTAGTATCTCTAATTTTGTGAAAACAGCAATATACGTATAATACAAAGAATAAGGTCTAATTTTTATAAATGACTATCAGAGGTAATTATTTATAAAGAAATATATAGATGACATTATTAAATTGGATAATATTTTATTACAAAAATGACTTAAGTACGAGTAATATATTCAGAATGTAGGATAACAATTATGGAGCACATTATGTAAATGTACTGGTAGTTTAAATGTGATTGATCTGTAATCTATGCAATGTGTAACTAGATATCTGAATGTTAACGAATATTGTAACGAATGTATACTGCAAAATCTTGTCGTCAATGTATTATTGATTGTACGTTGTGTGTGTGTGTATACGTTTTGTCCTCGCAATTTTTATTTACATTTAATGCCCTGTTTAATTAGTTTATTTATTACTAACATCGTATTTAAGTAAATATATCTGTGAGAAAATTCTCTTAACAAATTAAAATAATTTCCAATAACGCGAAACGTTAATCTGTTATACCATGTTAGTTAAGTTGTTATTTTAAAAATATTTTGAGAATAAAGTAAAACAAAATATTTGTTAAAACCTCGTGAAAAAATGACCGAAAAATCAACGATTTAACACCGTTACGGTGGAACTTACCGTGGAACTACTCTAAATGTGAAAACGTCTCACATTACGAATTCCAGGCTGCAAAAAATGATGGTTCATATGCACCAAGTGAACAGCTTACAGAAATTCCAATATCAGACGAGTGGACTCAAGTTATTTTACAAGAAAGAAATGTCACGATATCTTTCACAGCTACGTTGATTATAGCACTTCTTTGTCGTTCATAACTTCCCTAATAAAATGAGACAATTTCTGTTTCTTCTAAGTCTTCATTTACTTTTATTCCTAGATTCTGATAACAGGAGAATTAAATTTTGTTTCGATGTAGAAGAATGTAATAACATTCGTATTTAGTAGATTATTAATAATGTTATAACTGTTATAGTGCGAGGGGGTAGTAATTCATAGATTACAGTGTCAAGAACTCTAAAATCATGTGTATTATAATTAGAGGTACCGGTAAATAACGCTGTTTTTTTAGACTGACTTAGCAGTGTTATATTGTTCTTCGATTCATTATTACATAACTCGTTTCCTAATTTGATTTATTGCCATTTAGTATATCTATTGCGAAATTAATTTGTACCAAATGTTAAGTAAAATAAAATTTAGTTTAATGATCAAAAAAGACATTATTTACGGGTACTCTCTAATAATAAGACAAATGTTTTGTTTTTGAATTTGTATGTTTAAAGTTTAAACACATATAGTATTATATATAATTAATTAATTATACATAACGTATAATTATAACATTTTCTTAATAATCACATTTTGGAATAAACGTGGTGGCGGATTCCTTGATCGTGTTGATGACGTGTCATGCTCGCAGCAAAATCTATGTACGTATCATTTATGTTGTACTGTCATTAAACCTCTCCAGAATGAAAGGTGACGAGTATGATCTATTAAAAGACAACCGCTTTCTATCGCCCAGGTAGATAATAGCACGACGTATCCGTGGATTACACCATAAAATCCCTCATAAACCGCAACGGTTTTTGCTCTCGTGCCTTCTTCTTCGCGCCTTTTTTTTTGTTTTCCATTTCTTTCTCGCGTTCAAAAAGATCGTAAACGGCAGAAATGTTACTCAATAGGTACTTACCTTCTTCTTTTTCCTCTCTGTTGGCAGTATTCGTCCCAGCGCAGCTTTCACGAGCAGCGAAGCTGCTGAAACCTGTGCTCGCTGTTCGTTTGCGGTAACCACTTATTATTGTTTGCGGTAACCACTTACTATCTCACGATAACCGAACGTTTTGCATTTCATCGTAAGCATGCCGATGACATGTGGCTGGCGGTCAGACGACCATTCATGATCCTGTCTATACTTTATTGGTATTTTAAATGTTATTGGCGAAGGCTTCTGGACCAACCAATGTGTCGAAAGTTCTGTGTTTACAATTCCAGACATTGGCCGGAGAATCGATTCATTGAAACGTCATTCTGTCCATGTTTATTGATTAGTTAAATATTCTACCGTACTCAATTCGATATAATATCGTTACCTAACTTAAATACTTAAATCTCATTTATTTGGTATATATATATATATCAAATCAATATATATCGTATTAAGGTACTTAATTCAATAAGTCATTTTTGAAGAGACTAAATTAAAGTAGTAAACAAGCTGCCATATTGTTCCTAAACGTGATATCAAATTTGTATCCTGAATTAGGAAAAAGTGTATAATTGAGGAGTATAATATTCTTTCTTTCTTAAATAATTTTGAGATAAGTTGAAATTATTACATTAACGTTCTTCATTTTATTTAACCTTTTCTTTATTTCAAGTTTCACCAATTCATTTTTGCCGTAGATGCAATGAAATCTACAGTCGAGTTATTAGCATTTAGAAGTGTTTGAAATAATTTTATGAAAATACTAAAGTTCTGTGAATTTCGGCATCATTTTCATCCCACAAATAATAATATGGCGTTTAAATTGCGTGATCAGGATATTGAATGCAGAATTTCTAACAATTATGCAGTATATGTTTTAGTATATGTTCTATGTTTGAGATTATAATCTAAAGTTAAAAAACTTTCCAAATTTCCATATTAATTTCAAAAAAGCAATAACACATAACATTCGAGAAAATAATAATATTTTAAAACAGATAATCATAAATCCAGAACTTCCACAATTATTCAAAGTATATTACAGAATAGTGCAATCGATTCATTTGATCTCATTATTACTTGTAATAAAAAGTTTTCAACCAGGAAGGACAGAATATTTCAGGCACGCGTTGCTAATTACACAATCCCATGATTCATGCTCATAAAGCCGAACAAATAAGGAAAATAATGAATAATTTTTATGAACGCGATGCAGTAACGTGTTCATAGATCATTTTGCATAGTGTTTTGGTAAGCATTGAGTTACTTCGTGGGGGAAACTACCATATGGTGTAGGTTACAGCGTCGCGGACGTCGTCGTTGTTGTTATTGCCAGGTTCTCTTTCAGTAATTACGCAACAAGGTCCCCTGCAAGCGCGATTTGAAGGAGTTTTTTTCCACATAGAAGGGGTAGCTTGAGTTAGGGTGAACTGTTATGGGTTGTGGGTACCAGACAGTGCCACGCAACCCAAAATGCGTGGGAATCAAATGTTTTACGATATATCATGTCATCATCCGTTATTTTGTACGTTAAAACCGAAAACGAGTGAATCATCGCATAGGCATCGATGTTGAATCGTGACAAACCACGTGGAAACTACCCCAAACGTATCATTTTTATAATCTATTTAATATGTAAGTGTGATCACCAATTTTTTATTGAATAAACAATTTTATTGCAATGTATCTTTCGTCAGCTTTAAACGAAATATATTAGAATGTATATTGATTTTATTATACAAATAATGCACTCGCGATTTCAAGCAAAGTTAGAAAATTCTTTATTCCTCATTGAATAATGACTCTGTGTTTATAAAATTTTTTCTAGAAGGATCAATTTATTTAAAAATTAATTCCATTATAAATATCTTTTGGAATACAGTTAGACAAGTTAAATGCACTTTTTAATCGGGAATGTTGTGATACATTTATCACAACAAGATCACAACATTTATAAATATGTAGCTGCAATTGTGAATAGAATAATTTTCAACATTGCAAGTATCGTTTCAGACGAGTGAACTTATATCATAGTAACAAAAATCAAGTATATATGTTTGAAATACAAATATTTTCATTAGTAAAAAATGACTTTTCAAGAACTGACTAATGATGTCTATACATATATTGTACTTCATAAATAATAATATTATTCTAAGCTTATACATCTATACAATTACATGAACGCAAATACATAATATATGTAATTATAATATATATTAAATACATATACAATGCATATAAAATAATAAACAGTATAATTCTAAAAGTTCCGAAAGTTCCAAATTGTTGTTCTTAAATTTAATAGCATTCAATAGATGTCGCGAATATCGTACAATTTTAATTTTAATTATAATTTTCATTTCCATTTCAATTTTAATTTCATATTTGCCTTGTTAATAAAGCTTTTTTGTTTTTAGTACCAATACATATCTATTGCTAATTTAATAAGATTTATTTCCTTTAAATTCGCTCCTACATGCAATTTCTACATTTAATTTCGGGCTGCGGACGGTCTACTTTTACACATCTTAAAGACGTCTTGATTTGTAAGATAAAACGTTTCCAGACCGTACGTCGGCTGTTCATAGGGACATCTTAAAGGCGTCCCGAATGTCCTACACCAGACGTCTTTAAGACGTCTTAAAGACGACTTTGTGTTATCTGGAACTGTATTATAAGTATACCATGAGGTTCATATATAAAAGTTAAAAGAACAATTTCTTTTTGTTTAGACTTTGTGTAGTAAATTAGTCGATGTTATATCTAAAAAAATGCAAATTATTAGATTCAATTTTTAGAAGGTTATTCCTTTTTGTACGGTGTCCGAATATTTTATTGAATTACTATACACACATATAGAGAGAAATATAACTACAAAAATCATTTTGCTCAACAAGAATCGCGTTTTAGACCGCTGTGGCATCGTGCGAATATGAATGCATTTAACGTCACATTTGAATGAAAAAGTGAAGTATACAGGCCGAGTATCCCAGCGGAAGGAGCCCAGGGGATTATCCTGTTTTGACATGTACACAGTTGGCGGTGGAGCGTTTTTCAATCAGGAAAACCGAGCATCTGCCACGGTAGGCTCTGTTTTGCTCTTGCCTGGTTCCGCTCGGAACATCGAGATCCTCGTAACTCACGGTGGACAGTTTCCGAAAGGGTTTCTGCGGGTATCGAGGAAGAAGGAGAAAAGGGTCGAGGAAGGGTGGTCGCGTGCCCGCATCATCTGCGCCATGCAAAAATCATTGGAAAACTCGAAAAATGCTGAGCCAGCCTCGCAGCTGCCCCATTCCATTGCCTTGACGTCTTATTCAAATAATCTCGCTGGAACCTTCCTGTAGGTGGTTTCAATTGGCTCGGAAAGGGTTGAACGCTTCGAATGGCAGTATTATCGAAAATTACGCGTGATTCGTATTCGAGAAAAGAGTCGTAGGTGTGAAAGCGACTTCACCTATGTCTCCGAGCATCTGTCGCGATTGTCGCCTCTATATTTTCTCTTTTTTCGAAGCCACGATTATGCGCACTGCAATTTTCTCCTTTTTAACCGAGAATGTTATTTCAAGAGCAGCACGAGCTACTTAAACGGTCGGGAACATTGCTGTAGCGCGAAACCAGTTGCAAATTTTTCTTGTAACTTCTGCTCAAACTTATGCTTCTCTTTCGTCCTTGCAAATGCCTTTCTTGCTTGCGGTTTTTTTCGAATTGGTAAGAATCTTATATTAGAGGAGCCAATTATTGTGCCCTGTTGGCAGTCTCCAGGAGTTTTCGCGCTATCAAAAATAACTTCAGCAATTTAATTGACACTTCTTGAGGATTTAAACGTTTCTTTTATCTCATCGCAACCAATTCAAGAAACATAGTTTCGAGGAGAACGCGTTTAAAGTTTTTTATACTATGCCGATAAAAATAATATTTACAGCTAATCTGGCAGCCCACGACCATAGAGAGAATCTTCCTCTTTTTAAAAGAAGAAGTCCACGGATCAGGATGTGTTTTGATCCCTTTTTATGCCCTATGCACTAGATCGTATCCTGTTGCTAACGGTCCGGTCGGACCGCACAAACAGCTACGTATAATTTCGTCGACCAGGAGAACAAGATTTGTTATTTCACTGAACGCCGATAAAATGTAATAAAAGAAATGTATGTATCTCGAAATATCAAAGAATGTGTTTGAAAAGGAACGAAAAGTAATATCAATGTTAGACGTTGCAAAAGAACTTGCCGAAAATCATCTTTAATTGAACGGTTTACTCGAAGTTCCTCCCCTTAAGAGATCGAAAGTCGAATTTTCTCTGAAAAAATGAGTTTGTATATTTGTCGATTTGCAGACTGGTCGGTTGCGTCATACGTCCAAGCACAGTCTGCACGTTAGAACACACATGCAGGGTGCATATAAGTAGTACAATGGACACGAAGTATGTACATACTGTGAAAGGTGAAGAAGGAAAATTGGAGGGGATGGTTGGCGCGTGGCTCAATCCTCTCCCCCACTCGGTCGTGCCTCCGACGATCTGAAACTCGCGCGACCGTCTAGAGAGAGAAGCAGATGCTTACTTCTTTCGGGTCTGGCTCTTACCAAGGCGGCATTAAAGGTATGAGAGGAGCCGACACCAGTGAGAAGGCTGTAAGAGGCAAGCACCTGCCGTAGGCGCACGGTGTCGGGTCACTCGGCTCCTCGAACACGAATATAGCGTTCATAGCACCTAACTTGACTGCTCGCCTGCCTCCTTGGATGCCTCGACCGGACTGACTGCCCCTATGCCCACATCTACCCACCACGAAAAATCATCGAACAGAGAAAGAGAGAACTCACGCGTGCCTGTCGCATAAAATACTTACTTGCGCCATTAACTAGCTGGTGTTCCTCCCTCTATCCCCCGTTCGCCGATTCTTCTTTAACCCGTAACGACCGAAAGAGAATTCGCGGACGTCGAAACTCGTCCGAGAGATCCCCTCTAGATTACGGTGTTGTAGACATTTTTCTCGTGTCCAGTTGTTTTACCTGCTCGAGGAACACGCGAGTGAATTATCCTTTGAATAGGAACCAGGACAATCTGCTTAGCCCTGGGTTTTACAGCGCCGGTAAAACCCAGGTAAGCGCTGACCCGATGCAACCGCGAGGTAATACAGCCTTCATCGACAAACGGACTTCCTACAGTTTGGTGATTCGACGAAAACAATTGTATGCTTCGCTAACGTTGGAGATTCATTCGGTCTTCATAGTCTTGAAGGGTTCACTTTCGTCTAACAGCTTGATTGTCGTGCCAACAAGCTCCAAAATTTCACAAAATTAAAGCGTTCTATATGATGGAATTAAAATGAAGAAGTTAAATTATAAGAAAGAAACTAAGTTTTCAACCGGCCTTGCGGTTTTCCAGGGGGACCAAGAGTGTGTAGGAACTTTAATCTATGTTAAAACAAGCCATCTATTTAGTGTATTAGACTTTTAGTGTTAGAGTTAACATAGAGGAGATATCTGTAAGTGTAAATCCTAAGCCTTGAAGGCGAACATTATAATAAGTAATAATGATAATAATAGATGATCGTTAAAATTAATTTTCATATCGGAACATATAATTCTGGCATCCACATATGAGTGACGCCGCAGTCAAAGTGTTAACACATTGAGTAAATTAATTAGGTTCATCTATCGAGAATGTAAAGTGTGGATAAATCGCGGAATTTACTACCTAACAGAAGGGGTCGAAAACGTATATTGCTGCAAGGAATAGTAAACATGTGTGCAAAAATTCACTACAAAACAGTGTACTGATTACCTTGTGTTGAAAGATCAAATAAAAAGAATCAGATGAAAATGAAGGTTGGCAATAAAGCAAGGTTGGTCAACCTATTCCTTAATTCTGCGTACAAATAACGTTAACGTCTAAATATTCTACTTTATTTAGGTGTTAATTACATTATAATATCAATTCCTTTGAGTTTATACAGTTCCAAATAATAAAATTACAGCGAACAATAAGCGTCAACAATGTTCGTCGATGTTACACTTACAAAACAAGAAACTCCAAACTTTGTAGATCAAAGTACCTCCTTATCGTTAATCAATGTAACTCTTGATCGGTTAGCTGTTTCCAACGAGTATACTCATCATAACACAAAATATCGTCATTTCCTGGTGACGAGTATACTCGTCGAACACAGCTAACTGTTTAAGAAGGATATTTTACAAAACTGTTGTACTTGTTGTAATTGTTGTACTTGTACATGAAGAAAATCAAACATATTGCAGCAATTTGCACAGTTTTCGAAAAGATTGCAAATCTAACTGGTTAATAAGATCCAATTCGTTCTTACATCGTACTAGAGCACGTGTCGCATGCTAGTACAAAGATATCTGCGATACCTATCAGCTCATTTGCTCAACGAGACGATACCGCGTGGATCATGCGAATCACGTGGATTAAGGGACAACGATCCCTGGGTGGATGGAAAAAGTCGAAGGATACAAGCTGCGTTTATAGCCTCGAAAGAGGAAGAAGAAGGGGAGGAGGAAGAGAAGAGAAGAGAGAATCGAAGCAGGTTGCCAGGCCAGCGCTGGTGTAGGCCAGTGGGTACGAGTTGTATATAGCTATGGCATACCGCTCAGCGGACCCGCATCATCAAAATGAAGAAATAGTATGAGGGGTAGACAGAAGGGCGGGGGGAAGGGAGTATGACGCTGTAGGGACCCGGCTACGTTATCGACAGTACTAACCTAGTGAATGCGACACCCAATAACTGCTGGAGCCTGCACAGTGTTGTTCAAGTGTCCGGTAGAATTTTTATCGAGGACCGGTCCAGCGGCGTCTAGCGCTAGTCTGCTAGCCGCGCGGATTTCCCCTTTCTTATAGCATTAGCGCGCCATAGAGTGGGGGCCAGACAAGAAATAGTCCTTGCGAAGGACACGCGAGATTTCTACTTTCATTCAGTGCGCCGCGGATTCTAGGGTAACTGTAGTAAGCGTGACTCTATCGAGACTGGGATCCTGATCTGCTCCAGTTACACAGATTTCATGGGATATTTTAACCCTTTGAACTTGAAAGCTCCGCGTCGAGGGACGAAACGAGACTAATGGTGAACATGGTACTTTAAACATTAGACATTTTTGCGTTTGCGAAGTCTCCGTCGATCTTATGCTAAAGTTTATGCATTTACGATAAGTGTTATAATCGACAAATATTGTTACATTTCCTTCAATTTATTAACCCTAGAACGCGTAACAGTTTGAGGTCTGCTTAAGAGACGGTCATTTTGTATTCGTACAAGAAAACGTGCTGTAAATATTATTATTTCTGTTCGAGGTGTATTTATTTATACGATACTGTTAAATGATGCATTTAACAAAACTACATGTTTAAAATTCTGTGGACATTTTTTTCCCCTCCTTTAAGCATGCAAGGTTCAAGAAGAGACAAATGAATGTGCATGTTGCATACAAATCTACAGTCTATGTAGCATACAAATCTAGTTGTTACAATAGAATTTAGTGATCTATGTGCAGTGCTGGGTAATATTTTTATAAAAACATTTCAACTGCTATTTTCGAAAAGATTATTTCAGTCTCAATGAGAGCATAAAAGCATAAAATTAAGTATCTTATTTTGATAATCGCAGATTGCAGAGCTACTTGTAATGCAGATAAAAAGTACTTTGCTATATTTTCGAAACTTTAGCACAGATATCTTTGGTATATTTAAAATAAGACACGACTTAAAATACTATTTTAAACAATCTTCACAGTAAGTGAAAAATTTTATTCTCAAAAGTACTATTTTATTTTTAAAAATACATGCATGATGTCAAACAATATATTTACTTACTATCTACGATTTTAAATAGTATTTTACTCAGCTCAGTGTATGTGGATCGTGTTAAATTTGTTGTGACTGTGTCTGTGTTCAAAAACCAATATATTTAATACATTTTCAATTTTGATTACATGTATTTTACACTTTTGAATTTCTTTGTGTGAGATTGAAACTTTACTGCTAATTAAAGAAGACCTATATACTTTATAAATTATTTCATGATAAAAATATGATAAATTGTAGACTCAATCGTTTTAAAAGCAATACTTAGAAATCTTAGAAAAAAGTTGTCATTGTAAACTTCTTTGGTATGTATTTAAAAACTATAAATAGTAGTGCAAGTATATCTACAAACTAAATCGAAATGATAGAATTTCTTTTGGAATTTCTTTTAGAATTTTAAAAAATTTGTTTAATTCAGTAATAATTAAATTTAAA